GTGATAGGTCCATTTATTGGAGAATTTTTATTTCCATCCATTGTGTTTGCTAAATTCACTGGAGATTTTGAACAAGTTACTCTATTAACCCTGTCGTCATGGCTGATTGCTCCGGAAGTAGCAGTACTAGAAGAAATAGACACTATACTGCCATTTAAACCGCTACCGGCCGCTAAAGATGGAAACTCTTGGCTCTTGTAGCAACTATATCGGGAAGTATCTCGCCAATTAGTTTGTTTATTGTAGTTAAAAGAAGATGCATTTGATGAGATATCCTTCGTAGTTGGATATTTTGGGTATAAATCTGTGGAAGGAGGATCATATGATGAATAATGATGCTCAATAAATCCATTCGTAGATTCATAAGGACTCCAGTTTGACCGATAAATGCGAGCTTTATGTCGCCCTTTAGAAGGAATGGCTGCATGTCTATACGATTCAGGCTTAGTATGGATATGAGTAGAATCGTGTTCTGATGGGGGAATATAGCGACGAGCATAATTGTCACTAAATCTTGGAGAGATAAAACGCGCAGAAGTGCTACCCGCAGTGATAATTGAAGTGACTAGACTTGGATAATATTTTACATTTTTGTTAAGGTTTGATGACTGATGAAAGAGGCTTGAAGAAATGTAGGATGGTGAAGAGGGAGAAACACGATTATTAGAATTAGGATGTGCTGACAAATGACGAATTTGCCGAGCTTTGTAGGATTTTGTAGGCGAAGTTTCAAAAAGAGGATAGCGGTAAGAAGTATTGCCAATGTATGCAGATGACGGAATATCAACATCGCCTGAAATAGATCGGCGATTTACATGCGAAGCTGAAAGATAATCTCGAGTATGACCGTTCTCAAATGAATTTATCCTATTTAAAAAATGTCCAGATTTTGAAATGTCCAAAAATGTATCATGGTGACGAAGATATGTTTGAGGACGACGATAAGTTGTGGTTGAGAATGCGTGACTCATTTGCATATTTGAAGTTAAAAGAAAGCCATCCTTATAATTCATAACAAAGGGTGCTCATTTTATAATTGTTAGAATTATGTGTTATTATGAGAAACGAAAAACACGCATGATGTGATAAAAGGATGAGCAGCACAAGGAGTTAAATAAGCACTAAGTTCTAGGTCATTTATAATAAAAATTTCTATAAGAACAAACAAAAGAATTAGAAAGCAAAAATTTAAAAGTGTTAAAATTTGTTATATTGTTATAAATTATTTTATTTAGTATTGTATTCTAGGCAAAATAAGTGTATAATACTTGCTAATGACATTTTTAGGAATATTCATACCGAAAAATTAAAAGAATTTTCGTATAAAGATGGTTTTCAAAGAAGCGCTTAATAAATTCATAGTAGAGTACCTTTTGTTTCTTTTAACGATACGGGTGGAAGGGAATCATAAGTTGGCGTCATCGGAAGCTGTATGGGGATTGTCATCGAGCTGGAAATGTAGACTTGGAGAGATAGGTCCTCAGCGAACCTCCGTGCGAACATAAAAGAGTC